CATTGGACAATGACTAGCAACAGAAACAACGTGTGATTTCAGTTTCGAGATTTCGCAACCCAATTCATTAGTAACCTGTACTGATTACACTTAATCAATAACTTATTCGGTTGGTGCATGTACAACGAATAAAAACGAAGCAAAAAGCGGACGTCAGCAAGTATATTCACGGTGTATAAATTATACAATATGTCAACCACAAAATTAGCTAATATAAAAATATATAATGCCCACTAATGAATTAAGTTTGAATCACATCACAGTTTTTAGTTCCTACATACTTTTTTTAATAGTTTCCATTCACATCATGTACATTAATCAGTACAATAAAAAGTCTCTTATTTACATATTTTTGTTAAATCATATAGTGTAAAGACAAATTAACATCACACGTTTCTGGTGGTACAGTTTTTAATTTCTTTTCCTTATTTTGATTTGGATTTAATTTCAAAAATCTTTAACTTTAATAATTGTTATCAATTCATTTCGTTAACATCAGCGTTCTAAAATGAAGGAATTTATTGATTACTAAAAATATAAAATTTCTGAAAAAGTTAGTATTATTAACAAAACAAAAGCTCATAAAATAAGTTAAAAGTACGCTCAGGAAATATGAATGAGTGAAATGTACTGCAATAAAATAAAATATAATATTCAACTGATAAGAAATTTGAGCAAAATTTTTATACGTTTTTATTTGTATGTATAAACAACAAGTCAATACTAGAGATGGGCCGACTATGACATTAGCATACTAGCCGATTGGCCGAATAGTCGGTCGAAAAAAGGCCGACCAGCCGGCCATGCCGATTATTGCTTTCGACGGAGTTCGGGTGATATAGGCAATCCCCGTTGCGCTTCGTTGCCAGCTGCGTTGCTTGCAACCGCGCCGTGCGATCAAAGCGGATCAAAGCGGAACCTGTTTTTGTTTACTTTGCATTTCTCCCGCCACATACACACGGAATTCAGTTTTATAATTCCGATTCGGGATACCGAACGCTGCAAGTACATAGGAAATTAATGACCCGTCACACACTTACGGTATTTTTCCGTACGAATTTTTGCGGACAAAACGGAATTCCGTAATTATGTGGCCGGCCTCATACTGTTTACGTACGCACAGCGTTACAAAATGTTATTTTAGAAAAATTAAACTAAATTCAGTAAATTACTTAGCTAAGCCAGTTTGTAGTGAAGTACTAATTAAAATTGCAAAATTGCTAAATAAAACGACAGAAATGTGGGAAAAGCGATTGATGATTCAGTTTTTCAGGGAGTTCCTTGATTTATACACACATTGCAACTGACAGTCAATACTGCATTAAAACATGAATATATGGCACAAATACTTGCAAAATTAAGAAGAGTTTTTACACACTTTAACAATTCTGGTCCAGTTCAGTCAAACATTTGTAATCGGTGGCAATAAATTTAATTTTTCTATGCGGAGGAACTCGTTACTGTGCTGTCACAATTTTTATTAGAAGCACTGAAAAGTAATTGAAGTGATGGCGAGAGTGACACTGAAAAAGATGAACATATACACAGCAGCCACGATAAAAACAATACGGAAATAGCAACACATCGGAAGTTCTGGCAATGCTACCATGAAATGGTCTCTAGAAAACTAGAAGTTCATGGTGATAAGTCAAGAACAGCACATGAACTGCATTCTTACTTTTCGTTAGCGGTAATAAATCGCATCAGCGATCCATTTGAGTGGTCGAGTCACAACAGTTCAAGATATTCCGAAATGTCGCTCCTCGTGCTAAAGTTTCCTTCTGTTGTTCAGTTAGTTCTGTATATAGTGAGAGACTCTTTTCTGAAGCTGGTAATATTTACGAAAGCAAAAGAAATAGATTGCTGCCAGCAATAGCAGTCTGGTGTTTTTACACCACAATTTGCCTCTAATATTTTTTTTAAATAATATTATATTTTCCTGTCTTTCAAATAATGTTTTAACTAGGATTTTCTCCTGTATCGTGGAGGCAGTTCACGTACATAAATTGCACAAGGACAAACATCCAGACCCGGAACAATTACCAAATATTATATAATTTTTATTATAAACAAATTGCGATGTAAAAAGGGTTAATGTAAGGATTGTTTGTTACATTAGTTAAATTACTTACATTATTAATTTTATTGTCTCATTTTCATATTGCTCGAACAACACAAACTGTAACACTGATTCTAAAATAAAAATTATTAACAAAGAAGGTTAAGATTTAATTTCAATTATAATACAGATTTTTTAATTTATTTGAAATATGAATAAAATAATAGGCCGACTAATCGACGCTTTTTGCCGACTAGTCGCCAACTACAAATATGACCGGATAGTCGACTTCTCCGACTAGTCGGTACATCTCTAGTCAATACTTAAATCAAATTCAACATTTAATGAAATGAATTCCTAAAACACACAATCATGTATTGTATATAATATATTACTAATTTGGTTTACCTTCACAAAAATAATAACTGTTAGCAAAGCTGTAATGTTATTAAGTAATTAAAAGGGCATTTTTTTCAATTATTTCATAACATTACATAAAGACGTAATATAGATATATTAATGCCTTCTACAAAGATAACTACGACGTTATATATCCTAAGTTATTTCGCTTAACGAAAAATATACGCTTTCATTACTCAAAATACGTTTGTGTAAAAATGCCTATTGATATAAGGTTTATCTTAAAACAACAATTTCGCGATAATCTAATAATTGAGATTAATTAGTACACCCTATAACTAGATCTTTACTTTTTCCCATACAATACAATTACGAAACAATGAACAAGAAATGTATTAAATATACAGATAATAACTTCCATGCCTATGCATATAAGGGGACGTCCATTAATTGCGTGAGGGGATTTTAGCGATTTTTCTACTCTCCCCCCTCCCCCTAAAGTGATATGGTTCGACATCCCCCCCCCCCCCAACTCTCACGTGAGATTTTTCAAAATGCGTATTTTAGTGTAAATACGTTAATCAGTGCTTGATTGCGGTGGGTTTACTTAAAAAAAAACATCATTTGCTTAATTATTTTTATAAATATAATTTGTGAAGTTCCTATAACCGCAATAAATATTGCTGTTATCGGAACTCCACTATATATTTACACTATATCTTGCAGAAAAAATTAATTATGTATTTCTGGATACCCTCACTCCTCGCGTCGTGAGAATGGGTGAGGTTCGGCTCGATTACCTTCGCCCCTAAACTCCTCATGTTATTAATGAACGCCACCTAAGTTTAATAAATGAATATCGTTTTAATATAGAAACAGAATATTTAATATCCTTCACCACATGCTTAATTTCATAAAACCATCAGTCAACATAGCCTAATTATCATAACAACGGAAAAATTAATGTTAATAATAAAACTTGTTGGCGTCATTTTAAAAAGTTGATACATCATATTCACTGAAGTATTGTTGATGATTCTTTCATCAGCATTTATTTTATGGAACTTCAACTTGAAAATGTTTATTAGTCGTCATTTACTTTATGAATCAGTTTATTATAAGGCACCAGAGCAGAATATAAAAATACTAAACAGTATTTATTTTGTAAGCATAGGAGATAACTAATTATATTTTTCTATTCGACCAACAAATTGCTTATACTTATAACTATTAAAAACTTTCAGGTATTTTGATCGCATAAAATATGAAATTTGTTGCATTATTTCTTTAAAGAGTTTAAAATTTGTGAAATACAACTTGGCTGGCAAATATCTAAGACATTTATTATGATATATAAAGTTACTTTTGTATAAACTATTTAGCTTTATCAAAAATTTAAATATTTAACTGTGTAAAAAGTATTGCTTTACTAGTTATTGTATTTCTTTTAAAGTTAAAATTAAATGTAATCAAAATCATCAAAGAAATAAAACGGCAAACCTTTCATAGTGATTATGACTACGCATTATCAGTCGATGTAATGTAATAGGTAATAATTTTTATTTTCAATTGGACAGCCTTATTAACTTGGCCGGTAATTTGTATCTAATGCTAACTTTTTATTCAACACTGCATGTATTCATCCTTTCCTCGTACTAGCTAAATAAATATATTATATGGTCTAATTTGAATATAATATATAACAAACAGATTATACAACTTCGTACCTTCAAAGTACGACTTTGCAGGTACAAAGTTGTATAATGTCAAATGCAGATGCTATATTTTTTTATAATGCACGTAGATATCATAAACTTAATGTTAAAAAAAAGTTTATTAGATTCAATAAAAATATTATTTTCTTGACTTTTTCAATGGTAAAAGCGTTAGTTGATGTAATTGATTGCTAATATGACAAAGTAAATAAAATTATAATCCTACGTGTGTATACCAAGTGAGGCAACTTGATAGTCGTTAAAGTGGAAGAGGTAAAGAGACCTAACTCACTGACTAATGTCAATTAACAAAAGTGAGAAAGAATAAGTGCAATAGGAATATTTTAATCCTGATATTAAAAATAACATTATTTTTTGTCATTTTTAATATACGTAAATATTTCATTATTTGGTTACTAGTAAGAAAGAAATATTTATTTAAGAGTAAAATATTTGAAAAAAAAAACAATTTTTGCCATTCTTGATGTTATTTTAAATGTTATTTATTATTTTCAAGCGAGGAAAGGACCTTGCTGTGAGTTGTTCTCTTTCTTCCATTAAGACATATTGAACGAAAACAAAGAATAATTCTTGTATTTTGGTTTATGGTTACTGTTACTTAAAAATTATGAAATCATTTGCAAGAATTATTACAATGTGGTGATGTTTTGTAGCCCGTAAGCCATTATCTTCATGTAAGCATTTTTAAATAACAACAAAACGAAACATAACAAATTGAAAACACATAACTTCTAAATAATTTACGCATAAGTTATTGTTTCCGACATTAAAAAATTCCATTACTTGGATTTTTTTCCAGTCTTTCGCGTCGATTTCCTGCGTCGATGTCGCTTTTTGGGTTTTTCTCATGGTTTCAGTGTATAAGAAGGCGATCGAATCTCCACTTGTGGAGTGTTGAGCGTCGAGCTGCTGGGACTCGGTGGCAATGAAGCGTCACGCGAGTTATCACCGTCCAATTCGGGAATACTTATATCCTCAAAATACGGAATATTTCCTGTATATGACATTAGCTGATAGCCGTCAGCTGAAAGTGCCCAAAAGTCTATTAGTTACATTAAACAGGTTGAACTAAGATGAAATTTTTCTTTTATTACATTATGTCAAATTTATATAGTTGATACATAAATATAAATGCTCACATTAAAGCAATTTACTACTGAAGCCTATGAATTAAAACTACGAAATACGATTCGAAAGGGAGAACAACATTATTTTATTTTTTCGATGTTTAATCATATACATAGAGCAACAAGGGCTACCGGTGGGGAGTACAGAGTAATGACAGAGACACTGTCATTTTTTGTGGAGGAAAATCTGAACACAGTAAAAATCTTCTGTCAGTACGAAACTTACAAATAACAATCAAAACAATAAACTACCAACTTCACAGACACAGATGATACAATATATAACACTATCGCACGGAAACAGTTACAACTCTAATACAGACTCCAATCAGTTGCTCGACCGATCTGCATATTGTATACGGGTGACATGTTGGTAAGCAAATCCGAAACAACATGACTTTTATTATTGTAATGTTCAAGTTTAAAAAGTAGTAAATAGCAATAATGTGATTAAAAATTACTTATACATGAAAGGCATCTTTTTGTAAATTTGATGTGACAGATTTGTTTTTGCCATTGAGCTATTATGTACTACATACTAGAGGCGTCACTGCATTCAGCTACTCTGTTCCACTCAACTGCGGTGCATACACCGCACTTTAATCAATCACTCGCTAGGCGCTTACAGAGGTGTCACGTGTTTATTTTAAAAAAATCTCTTGATAAATATGCCATCGTGTGTACTTAGATATTGCACAAATAATTCAAGAAATGTCAGTAAAAACCAAGGAATTGTTTTTCATCGGTTAATAAGATACTTAATCAATAAAAAATATTGGTTGCCTGTAAAGTCGGTATACGGGCGAAAGTTTTACGTGACAACGACTCTCTCACTCTCTCTCTCTCGCTCTGTCTCTCTCGCTCTTAGGCGGGCTAACTGTGCTCGAGTGGAAGGGACGCGTGCCTTTCACTTTTTATGTCTGTCTCTCTCGCTCTTAGGCGGGCTAACCATGCCCGAGTGGAAGGGACGCGTGCCTCTCACTCGCTCTCATTGTGAGCGCATAACGTGAGCGGAGCGTAACGCAGTTTCTTGAAGTGTCACCCGGCAAACCAATTTATAAGACGTTGTCACGTCAAAAAAGAGTTATGTATTAATAATAAAACAAATTATTCCTAAGACGCCATCTCGTGTCACGGAATATAGATTATGAAATTAATATTGAAATAATACTAGTTTTTACGGAATTTATCGCGTATATTTTAACTTTTTAAATACCCGACGTTTCGAACGCTTTACAGCACTCATGGTCACGGGCAGGACTGAGATGTTCAACGTCCATATGTCATAGTTAACTGCGGTTACCATAGATTAAAATTTAACTTTTGTTCCGATCTATGCAGTATGAACTTATGGTATCTTGAAGTCTTGCAGATGTATGCTTGGGTTGGGATTTAATTTTATTTATTATAGGATCCCAAGCAGATGGTAGCACCCAGCCATCTTCTCTATTGAAATTAGGATGTTTTTTGATTTCAATAGCCTCGCGAATCATCCTTGGAAGGAATCGGTGTTCTTTAGCGAGGATCTGCGGTCTATCAAATCTGATGTAGTGACGGGGGCGATCCTGTACGTGTTCACAGACTGCAGACTTCCCGGAGCGTCGATTCTTCACATCAGCTATATGTTCTTTAACGCGGGTTTTTATTGATCTTTTAGTTTGTCCTATGTAGGAGAGACCACATTCACAATCAAGCTTGTACACTCCTGCATCTTGCAGAGGGACATTACACTTGACCGATGGTAAAAACTGACCAATCTTCTTCAGCGGCTTGAAGTATGTATTGATGGAAGCGCGCTTCAAGATGTAGCCAATCTTGTCAGTGACTCCTCTAACATATGGCAGTACAGCAGGTACACGCTCGACTGTGGCCGGCTTCACTCGTTCTCTGTGACGTAGGCGCGGGACTCGAAGCTTGTTGTCATGCAAAACTTGCTTGACATGGTGGAGCTCTGCAGCCAGGTGTTTACTGTCACAGATCCCTCGTGCTCTCTGAAACAAAGATTTACCCACGGTAGCTAACTGTGAAGGATGGTGGTGAGAATCACCGTTTAAATATCTATCTGTATGGGTCTTTTTTCTATACACAGTATGGCTCAAGGTGTTATCAGGATTCCGAATTACTAACACATCTAGAAAAGCTAAGGAATTGTTTGCCTCTAACTCCATTGTGAACTGAATTTTAGAATTTATAAAGTTAAGATGGTCTAAAAATGCAGTTACTTTATCTAGTATATTTGTGTCGTTGTCGTCGTGGGTCGTTTTTAACCTTTTTATAAGTACTTACATCCGACAAAAGTTCTTGTATTTTAGAATTATAATCTGACGTATCCATGACTACCGTGGCGTTTCCCTTATCTGCGCGGAGAATCGTAAGTTCGTGTTTATTGCGTAGGTTCTTTAACGCTATAAATTCGTCTTTGGGAAGATTCGGTTTAGGCACTGAACATCCGCGTAACATAGACGAGATGTCTTGACGTATCGCCTCCAAATCTTCTTTCCGCATATTGTTTTTAAATAAGCAGTCCTCGACACTACAGATAATTTCTTCGTACGGTAATTTGCGGGGTGTAATTGCAAAGTTGAGGCCTTTGGATAAAACCCTAATTGTCAGCGAGATTAAAGACCTACATCTGGCAGACAATGAAACTATGGTCAGTTTTGATGTGCAGTCATTGTTTACATGCTTACCTGTTGAAGACTGCATCTCAATTGTAACTAGAAGGCTGGAAGAAAACAACATGCCCGTAGAATATGCAGTATTACTCAGACACTGCCTTACATCTGGCTACCTATTGTGGAAGGAGGAGTTCTACAAGCAAGTAGATGGTGTGGCGATGGGCTCACCTGTATCTCCCATTGTCGCCGACATATTTATGGAAGACTTTGAGGAGAAAGCCCTGCTTAGCTCTCCCATAAATCCAAGGTTCTACAAGCGGTACGTAGACGACACTTTCACAATTCTACCTTTAGATAAAGTAACTGCATTTTTAGACCATCTTAACTTTATAAATTCTAAAATTCAGTTCACAATGGAGTTAGAGGCAAACAATTCCTTAGCTTTTCTAGATGTGTTAGTAATACGGAATCCTGATAACACCTTGAGCCATACTGTGTATAGAAAAAAGACCCATACAGATAGATATTTAAACGGTGATTCTCACCACCATCCTTCACAGTTAGCTACCGTGGGTAAATCTTTGTTTCAGAGAGCACGAGGGATCTGTGACAGTAAACACCTGGCTGCAGAGCTCCACCATGTCAAGCAAGTTTTGCATGACAACAAGCTTCGAGTCCCGCGCCTACGTCACAGAGAACGAGTGAAGCCGGCCACAGTCGAGCGTGTACCTGCTGTACTGCCATATGTTAGAGGAGTCACTGACAAGATTGGCTACATCTTGAAGCGCGTTTCCATCAAAACATACTTCAAGCCGCTGAAGAAGATTGGTCAGTTTTTACCATCGGTCAAGTGTAATGTCCCTCTGCAAGATGCAGGAGTGTACAAGCTTGATTGTGAATGTGGTCTCTCCTACATAGGACAAACTAAAAGATCAATAAAAACCCGCGTTAAAGAACATATAGCTGATGTGAAGAATCGACGCTCCGGGAAGTCTGCAGTCTGTGAACACGTACAGGATCGCCCCCGTCACTACATAAGATTTGATAGACCGCAGATCCTCGCTAAAGAACACCGATTCCTTCCAAGGATGATTCGCGAGGCTATTGAAATCAAAAAACATCCTAATTTCAATAGAGAAGATGGCTGGGTGCTACCATCTGCTTGGGATCCTATAATAAATTAAATTAAATCCCAACCCAAGCATACAACTGCAAGACTTCAAGATACCATAAGTTCATACTGCATAGATCGGAACAAAAGTTAAATTTTAATCTATGGTAACCGCAGTTAACTATGACATATGGACGTTGAACATCTCAGTCCTGCCCGTGACCATGAGTGCTGTAAAGCGTTCGAAACGTCGGGTATTTAAAAAGTTAAAATATACGCGATAAATTCCGTAAAAACTAGTATTATTTCAATGTGTAGTGTTCGCGTAAATATAAGAAATCGTTATGAAATTAATATGTTCAGATGCGACATTTTGGTGGGTACTTAAGTATAGAACGAATATATTATTATAAACATTTTTTTTTTGTAGAAACCTATATAAGTTATTATAATTTGGCAAAATTTTTATGTTTAAATCTGCTTATTATTCTTTTATTTCATTTTTAGGTTTCCACATCAGTCAAAGTGGTATAAATTCGTCCATTTTTAACTCTCGCGTTCCCAGCATTTATGAACGACTTTTATTCTAATTTAAATAAATATATTTGTAATTTAAATGTTGTGTTAATAAGTTTTGTTAAACATACATTTAGTATGTTTTTTTATATTTGACTTAGGTAACTTTTAAAATATTCAGATAAAAATATCATTAAAATGTAATTGTGATATCATATATCACGTAATATTACATTAAATAAACAAATATAATATACACATTGACAAAATTTAAATATTGTTCTCGATATAATTTATCTATTTAACAATACAATCTACTATACCTACCTACGGGTCATTCTACCTATGTTTATTCTATGATAAAAAAACAACCGCGGGAACACAGAGTAGCGCACATTTTTTGTTTAAGCTAGCTATTCTAGTACGTAAGTACATATTACTTCAATGGTTTTGCAGCAAAAAAAGCTGAACAATTCGGCATTATTGTAAAGACGTAGATTCAACCGCGCAACTAGATTTAGTCTAGTGAGCAGTACGCCTGCAACTAGTTTTATGGTACGCATGGAACCGCGCGGACTTATACTTTAACAGAGGGGAACGCCTGCGTATGACTACTCCCCTCCGATTCACCTGTGACCCGTGTTGCTCTATGTTCATATATTACTAAAAAATAAACAATTTTTGTTTATTACGTGTTTGGATGAAAAGTATTTATTAATTTTAATTTTGCCCTTCTGTACTGCTCTGTAGGTTAATTTGTTTCCGTTACAATTATTATGGTAAAAATAATTCTAAATTAATTGAATATGATAATTTAAACCCAATAACTTAATCACATGCTTTATATTATTTCATGAATGTCTATTACTTTCCGATTACGCGTTCGGCAAATCTAAATACAGCCGACTCTCGTTAATTCGAAACTCGAGGGACTCTTAAAATATTACGAATTATCGAGTGTTTGAAATATCAAATGGTCCGAAATTTTTGAGAGAAAATAAATAAAAATTCGAGTTATTAAGTGTTGATAGAAGTACGCTTCAACGCAAAACTAGGCACAAGAGAAAACGGTGAGCTGAAGTTAGGGAAATTTGGAGTAGGGCAACGGAACCGAAGGGGCCAGCAGCTGGCCGACTTTATGGAGAAAGAGGGACTCTTTATGATGAACTCTTTCTTCCAGAAGCGGCCCCACAGGAAGTGGACCTGGTCGAGCCCCGACGGTTCGACAAAAAATGAGATTGACTTCATTATGACGACCAGACGCCAACTGTTCAGTGATGTCTCAGTGATCGCAAGGGTGAAAACTGGCAGCGATCACCGAATGGTTAGAGGCACACTGAACCTAAACGTTAAGTTGGAGAGGTCTCGTCTAATGAAGTCAACGCTCCGTCCCCCTCGTGCTCTGATCCAAAATCCCGAAAACTTTCAGCTCGAGTTACACAACCGCTTTCAGTGCCTACAAGATTGCAATGCAGTGGACGATATGAATGACAAGCTCGTGGAAACTGTCCATGCGGTCGGAGCTAAGTTCTGCAAGACCCGCCGCAGAAGAACACAAAAAGTCTCCGATCACACTCTTAATCTCATGGCTGTTAGACGGGAGATGAGGCTGCAATCGTCAACAGATTTGACAGCATACAGGCAACTGAACAGACAGATCTCCAAATGCATGCGGCGAGACTTACGCAACTTTAATACTGCTCGTATTAAAGAAGCGATCGAGCGGAACCAGGGCTCCAAAGTCTTTGCCAGAGATCTGTCTGCCAGAAAGAGCCAACTGTTAAGACTGAAGACTGAGTGTGGCAGCATCGTTTCCGGGACACCTGAGATTTTGAGTGAGATTGAGAGGTTCTATGGGCAGCTGTACACATCATCGTTGGAGCCACACGCAAGTGTGAGTAACGATCCAAGAGCAAGTCTTATCCGACACTATTCCGATGATATCCCGGACGTCAGTCTAAGCGAGATTAGAATGGCTCTCCAGCACCTTAAAAACGGCAGGGCCCCAGGCGAGGATGGAATTACAGCGGAGCTTCTGAAAGCGGGTACACCGCGGGGAACACCGGTACTTGAAGTCCTTCAGAAGCTCTTCAATTCCGTCCTCCATGGTGGCACTACTCCAGAGGCGTGGAGCAGAAGTGCGGTGGTCTTGTTCTTTAAGAAAGGCGACAACGCTCTCTTGAAGAACTACAGACCGATTTCCCTTCTGAGCCGCGTCTACGTGCTGTTTTCGAGAGTCATTACGAATCGTCTCGCACGCAGACTCGACGACTTCCAGCCTCCCGAACAAGCCGGTTTCCGAAAAGGCTTCAGTACCATAGACCACATACATACCCTGCGGCAGATTGTACAGAAGACTGAAGAGTACAATTTGCCACTTTGCCTGGCGTATGTGGACTATGAGAAAGCCTTTGATTCCGTCGAAATTTGGGCGGTGCTGCAGTCCCTTCAGCGGTGCCAAGTTGACTGTCGGTATATCGAAGTGCTGAAGTGTTTGTACAGTAGGGCTACGATGGCTATTCGAGTACAGAACCAGAGCTCGAAACCTATCCAACTGCAGAGAGGTGTAAGACAGGGTGACGTTATATCCCCGAAACTCTTCACCGCTGCTTTGGAAGACGTTTTCAAGCTACTGGACTGGAAAGGATACGGTATTAACATCAATGGCGAGTACATCACTCACCTTCGATTTGCCGACGATATAGTCCTTATGGCAGAATCGCTGGAGGACTTAAGCACTATGCTCAATGACCTCAATAGTGCCTCCCAACGGATAGGTCTTAAGATGAACATGGACAAAACAAAGATTATGTTTAATGTCCATGTCACACCTATGCCGGTAGTTGTTGGGAGCACTATGCTCGAAGTTGTTGACGAGTACGTTTACCTGGGACAAATATTCCGACTAGGTAAGTCCAACTTCGACCGAGAGGTCAATCGACGGATTCAACTCGGCTGGGTAGCGTTCGGGAAATTACGACATATCTTCTCGTCAGGTATACCTCAATCTCTGAAAACTAAAGTGTACAACCAGTGCGTGTTGCCAGTGATGACTTACGGATCAGAGACGTGGTCCTTCACTGCTGGCCGTATGAGGACGCTCAAGGTCGCTCAGCGAGCTATGGAGAGGGCTATGCTCGGAGTTTCTCTGCGTGATAGACTCAGAAATGAGGATATCCGCAGTAAAACCAGATTGACCGACATAGCCCAACGGATTAGTAAGCTGAAGTGGCAATGGGCCGGCCATATAGCTCGAAGAACCGATAACCGATGGGGAAGAAAGGTTCTCGAGTGGCAGCCTCGTACCGGTAGGCGTAGTGTAGGGCGACCCCCCACTAGATGGAGTGACGACCTGGTAAGATATGCAGGAAGTCGATGGATGCAGGTGGCTCAGGACCGTGCTTTGTGGCATTACTTGGGGGAGGCCTATGTTCAGCAGTGGACTTGTGAAGGGCTGTGATGATGATGATGATGAAGTGTTGATAAATTATTATTTATTAACTGCTATTTTTTAACAATGACAAAACTTTAGAGGTACATCCTCAGCTGTTGTTTCTATGATCTGAGAGTTCATCCGTGTACATATTCATAGTGTGAATTTATTAATCTTTGTTTTCTTTGTTATACTGGTTTGCTTCAAAGCACATTGCTGCTGCTCAGACTGCTCAGTAACTTTTTAAACGGAAAAAGTGCCTGAAGTGCTTTTTCATCACCTTCGTTTCGTAGACAAAAGCTTTGTAAGGTATCGAATGAGGCTCTTGCTTCCTTAACTGACACCTCTGCCAAAGGTTCTGATGTATCGTCGAAACGTTTATACAAGTTTGAACTTGTCTCAAAATGTACTTACAAATTACAATCTTTCTGTCTCTTTCTTTCTGTAACTTTGAATTGTCGAGTGTTTGACGCCAATGAATTCGAATTAACGGATCGTTTTTTACGCAGCAATGATTTTTTTTTGTTCGAATCACCAAGTGCATAAAAATGTATTTAGTTCGAAATATAAAGAGATTTTGTAGGGAACTCCTGATAATTTTGAATTATAGAGAGGTTCGAATTATAGCATGTTTGAATTAACAAGAGTCGACTGTAAATAAATAAAATTGAAGTGTTTGTTTGTAATGTCAAAATAACAGATTTTTACTAAATGCATATGAAAGTATATACGGTACTTATCACAACCAAATAATTTTTAAAATTTTTGTCTGTCTGTCAGTATGTTCCCGCTAATCTCCGAAATCGATGAACCGATTTTGACGGGACTTTCAGCTGATGTTATAAAGAGTAACTACTTAACGACTTTACGAGTAAGTACTTTTATTTTAGAAAAAGAATTAAGATTGCGAAATAAATTAAAACCTATGAAATCTAATCGTAATAAATTTCACGCGGACGAAATTGCGAGGAACAGCCTAGTAATTAAATATGCTTGCTTTAGTATCACGAGTGCTAGTCTTGCAAAATTATAATCAAATAAGGATAAACACACTCGACACACACAAATAATACACAATTATTAAAATATTTAATAACACGTAGGCTTAGGCAACCACTGCTGTCACTACATGAATCTATTTTCTAGACATTTATGCAACCTTCAAATAAACGATTTTGACCAGAATTACGCTATAGAACAATTTAAAAACCGATTGTATATTATTACAACTGATGCTCAACTGCTTTTAATTTGGAAAATTATTTGATAAGCATGTATATAATATAAACTTAAAAAGCCATGAATGCATTATGTTGAATTCATGTCATGCACTAAGTATATAAAACGTATAAAATGACCGTAAAAATATTCATTATTGAATAAATGACTATTCATTTATATATTGTGTAAAAACAAAAAAAAATAATCAATCATGGAATATCAAAAAGTTTAGAACTCATTGTAATGTGTTCTAAACTTTTTCTTAAAAGACTACACATTCTCTTAAAAGACATAAACATAAAGAACAACAAGACATAAAGAAATTAAAATAGCCTCAAAAAAAAAGCTAAACCATTATAATAAATAAATACCCATATGTCTCTTACATGCACATCTCTTTAGAAAGAAATACTTTTTGTTAAAACCCAAACTAAAGGCGCTTCTAATAAAAAAAAGTGGAATAAAATAACAGAATAAGTACCATCGTCCTCAGAACCCAGGGTCTGGGCGCGAGTTTCGTCACTGCATACATTTATCTCACCTTTCTTCTTAGCTTTAATGAATAATAACAAAATTAAATTTACTGAGTTAATTACTTTACTAGTGACCTTAGATTAAACATACAAAACAGAAATAATACCTTATTATTATGTACGAAAATATACTATAATATAAAAATTATTGTACTCTAATGTAATGCATACACCATAATATTATATTTATACCTTATACTGATGTAATAATGCACATATACAGGAGGTGAAAACTTTATAGCAAATACCTGCTTTAGTAATAGATAAAACCATTAAAGGAATAAGAGACAAATACATAGTTTATATGTAAATGTTTTCTTATAAATAAACATACAGAAAAATCATAGCCCATGAATATTTTTAAGGAGCCTTAGTACTAATAAAATCTTTATTATGAAATCCCCAACATTTCTCCTAAGAATAAGTGGTTTTAATTTTTTGTAACTGTTTATTAATATAAGCATGTATCATTAGTCATTACATATACATATTACTAAAAAAAATATATATATAATTATTATAAATATAATAAACATATTTAATTCCCAAATATAAAATTGCTTTGCTCATTTAGTTTTAAGAGATATGAGATATTCGAAAAAAACAAAACTTAACTTTATTTATTACTTTGCCTGTAATTAAACCGAGGCTTAATTTTTGCAGTAGTCTGACTCTCTTGCAAAATGCACTTAATTATAATATTATTTTAAATACACTTAATAGGACATTAACAATCCTGATTAGAACACTATCACAGTCCTTATCCATGGTTAATATTAACCCATCACCGAAAAATCCATCATTTTACATGTTGATGTCTATCTTGCAAAGATCTCGCAATGCGGAAGCTACAGGCTATTTTGCAGATGAGGTATCATCGCGACTGATCAGCCAATCAAAATCAATCATCGGGTACTGTTTGTTCGTATCTACAATTAACATAAATGTAAAATATAACTCATACAAGACTAACTGGTACCCATTCATAATAGTTTTTAGAAAAACTCGCATATGGTTAACAATAGAAAAGTGTTGTTCAGATACATTTTTACAACTCCTTATTACCACATGTCAGCATTCATGTTATGCTTAGAGCTTTCATGATTAACATAAACTTATAAAAGAATTTAAGTTAACTTACCATTATTGTTTGACTTTGCTCTTTCATCATTGGAGTTATATGACAGCCCATAGAATGGATCGTCGGATCCAAATAGCTGAAATTAATATTAAAAATAATGAGCAACAAACCTTTTTTAATAAATAAAACTCAAGAAGAAAAGCTCCATTAAAATCGTAAATTTTAATATGACAAAAATGTATCTATGGAGAAACCCTCATTTGATTGTATCTCCCTATTTTGCGACGCAAAACAGAAATGTCCTTTCACTAGTATTTTATCCTGTAACGTTTTATATACTACATTAATTACGCATGGACAAACATCCAGACCCGGAAAATTTATTCGTAAGCCATAAATATAATTGTTCCGTGCGGTATTCGAACCCGCGACCCTAGGCACCGGAACACAATACTTAGTCAGTGTGCTACCGCACCGTTAGTTATATTGCTAATACATATAAGATACTAAGCTAAGCTATGTTTAGATCCATTAAGTTCTATTTGAATTTAAAAGTAGAGCTTTCCAATTATCGTATAAAATCTACAAATTATATTAATGAGCCTTTTTATTTATAAAATAATATACTATAGAGAAAATTATAATAAAAACATAAATTGCAAACTTAAGTAAGTAGTTATTTCAAATTTCTTTTGTCATTTAATTTAAAATATTACATGATCATTCATGGCTTGCTCATGGAAAGGAATGGCGAGAGACATCGCAGATTCTACGCCTGTATCAGCATTCTATGGACAATACAGAAGTTATCAATTTAACATAATATTATTATCATTAAAAAAAGAAATATTACTAAAATAATTGTGATTTGAATAGACATATACAGGATGTTAGTGTGAACACCGTTATCCTTGAAGCCAGTGGTTTGGTTTCACTAATAGAACGCAAATTCAATGAAAAATAACATTATTTTTTTTAAATCTCACTTTTTCCCTAATTCCTCAACTTTTGCCTGTCCTAAGCCAGGACGAAAGTATGAAGGAAAAGTTACATCACAGTTTATGTGTACCTATTGTGTTTTTATTGGAATGTTGTGTAGGTAGCTAGGGCGGGTGATGATCTTTACAGTGATTACGTCACTCGGGCACATTGTGTATCCATGAATTTACGGACGGTGTCGGATAGAAACTTTTTAAATTTTATGAAAGAAAATAACGTATTTTTTTTTAATTCGGATAAATATTTTTATATTAAAGCCAACTACTTATGGTTTTAGTGACAACGGCGTTTACACTTACACTTTGTATACATCACACAACACATGTACATGATTCACTAATATTTACTTCAATTTATTAACCGTAAAATATTAATTTAATACAGCTACATAAAACAGGGCCCTGATGATACCGTGAGGCTAAACCAGGGTTAGAAAATCATGATTTTTTTAAAATAATCGAGTAAAGAACGATTTTTTAAATCCTAATTAATCACGATTTTTTTGGATTTTTTGATTTTATTATTTAATTTAACTATATTTTTGCGCATAACACTTGTCCCTAAGTCACCTTTTGACATTGAAATAACTGATGAACTGAGTGAACTTTTGTCGGATGTAAGTACTTATAAAAAGGTTAAAAACGACCCCACCAATAAGCACACTCAAAACAACTAGTGATCTCATAAATAAACATTCCGAAAAATTTAATCTGGACGTAAAATGGATAATACCTACGTGCGCCAAATCACCAAAGTTGTATGGGTTACCAAAAATACACAAGCCCAATGCTCCATTACGTTCCATAGTGAGCCAAATCGATTCACCAACTTAGAGATTGCCTCAACACTTAGCGAAAATACTCTCACCGCTCAGGGGACATACAAGAGCACACATAAAGGATTCCTACCATTTTCTCAGCGAGATTAAAGACCTACGTTTGGCAGACAACGAAACTATGGCCAGTTTTGATGTGCAGTCATTGTTTACCTGTTGAAGACTGCATCTCAATTGTAACTAGAAGGCTGAAATAAAACAACATGCCCGTAGAATATGCAGTATTACTCAGACACTGCCTTACATTTGGCTACTTATTGTGGAAGGAGGAGTTCTACAAGCAAGTAGATGGTGTGGCGATGGGCTCACCTGTATATCCCATTGTCGCCGACATATTCATGGAAGACTTTGAGGAGAAAGCCCTGCTTACTTCTCCCATAAATCCAAGATTCTACAAGCGGTACATAGACGACACTTTCACAATTCTACCTTTAGATAAAATAACTGCATTTTTAGACCATCTTAACTCTATAAATTCTAAAATTCAGTTCACAATGGAGTTAGAGGCAAACAATTCCTTAGATTTTCTAGATGTGTTATTAATTCGGAATCCTGATAACACCTTGAGTCATACTGTGTATACAAAAAAGACCCATACAAATAGATATGTAAACGGTGATTCTCACCACCATCCTTCACAGTTAGCTACCGTGGGTAAATCTTTGTGTCAGATAGCACGAGGGATCTGTGACAGAAAGCATCTGGCCGCCGAGCTTCAGCACGTCAAGCAAGTTTTGCATGACAACAAGCTTCGGGTCCCGCGCCTACGTCACAGTGAACGAGTGAAGCCGGCCACAGTCGAGCGTGTACCTGCTGTACTGCCATATGTTAGAGGAGTCATTGACAAGATTGGCTACATCTTGAAGCGCGCTTCCATCAAAACATACTTCAAGCCGCCGAAGAAGATTGGTCAGTTTGTACCATCAGTCAAGTGTAACGTCCCTCTGCAAGATGCAGGAGTGTACAAGCTTGATTTTGAATGTGGTTCTCCTACATAGGACAAACTAAAAGATCAATTAAAACCCGCGTTAAAGAACATATAGCTGATGTGAAGAATCGACGCTCCGGGAAGTCTGCAGTCTGTGAACACGTACAGGATCGCCCCCGTCACTACATCAGACTTGATAGACCACAAATCCTCGCAAAAATAAAAACACCGATAAAGAACACCGATTCCTTCCAAGGATGATTCGCGAGGCTATTGAAATCAAAAGACATCCTAATTTCAATAGAGAAGAACTAGTATTATTTCAATGTGTAGTGTTCGCGTAAATATAAGAAATCATCACTTTTTGACATTTTTATTAGACCTAACCCCAACGGAATTCACACTGACAGATGAAGAAGAAGAAAGTGCATTGGAGGAAGCACTAAATCACTATGATGGTTCAGTTTTGCTACCATTGATAGTAAAGCTTAAGTCAAAATCAAAACCATTTAGAAGTGTGATGTTTGCAGAAGAAATAGTAAAAAATGTGACACCACTAGAGTGGTGGATGTCACAGAAAAATATAGTTAGTGAAGAGGAACAGTCTAAAATGTTTCCAGTGGTGAAGCAATTGTTTGGGGCGATAGCTCCTTCAGCTGCTGTGGAAAGTGTTTTCCACTTTTGGAATTGTTCAGAGCAAATTAAGAAACCGACTGGGAATCGAAAAGGCTGGAAAACTAGTTTTTTTATTCAAATATTATAATAATGATATTAATTTTTCAGATTTAAGGGACCCCACTAGTTTGTAACTTAATTATAATTTCTAAATCTGTTGTTTTATGTTGATTTCTCTGAAAGAAAGTGAAATTAAACATTTTTGATTAAACCAATGATTTTTATTGAAAACATCATTTATTCAAAAATAATTTATTCATGCGAACCCTGGGTGAAATCTGTCTGTTTTTAGAGTTAATAAAATTTACGTGGTAGAGCCATGCTGCAGTTATATTAGTAGTATAGTTGTAGCACGAATGGGTCGGCTCAATCGGGGAAGGACCCCGCTCTCACAGACTACCAGCGTAAAATAGTAGCTTAATGCTGCTGTGTTTCGTATGTTGAGTGTAGAAAACCGGAGACCGTTTTTTACTGGAAACGAGGCATTCCATCTTAGTCCTCACGGGAGACAATGCATCTGCATTTTGATTCGTAATCGAGGATAGACGTAGATGTCTATGGGCCCACAGCAACCACTTACAATCAGGTGGACTGTGTGCTCGTTTGTCACCATATCCTATAAAAAAATATTAGTGAAACAAGTACTTCTATCGATCCGAATCACAAAAATGAAAATAAAGTTAAACCAAGGACAACAATCGCAAGTATGAATTATAAAATAAAAAAAAAAACAATATTAAATTTAAGAATGTTTAGAGTAAACAAAACATAATCTAAAAAGAAATGACTCAGCAAATACGATATGAAATCGTTATCAACAACTATTACAACACAAACGCCGCGTAATTACGTAGCCGGCGCGACTGTAGGTACAAACTGTAAATATGAGAGTAAAGCCGCACAAGGCCTCACACGCGGTACCAACACGTTGGATGCAACGTGACTTCGTTCATTGCTGCCAACCTTACGGATTAGACCGCTGTGCGGCTATGTTTACGTTTAGCGCGCGCTAGTGTGCGTGATCCGTCGATGAACTAATTTGAATTAAGTGCGCGAAATTCTTTTGATGCTTTTGAATCACAATCAAAACAAATATAATTGTTCCCTATTAGTAATTAATGACTTTGTAATAAAAATATATACTAATTTCAATAGATGATTTTTATTTATTCTGTATACATTTTTCTTTCCTTGATCTATAGAAATATCTTTAAGGTCAATATATTTACAATTTTTTTATACATACCCCCAATAAAGTGTTTGTATCCAGAGAATAGCCATCACTTCTTAATAATTCTCGTAACGAATCCAAATCAGTTTGCATAGTATCTAAATGATCATCAATGTTATTTCTGTAACATACAAATTATTAATGTTATGTAGCAGTGATGCAAAAATCGTTTTATTAGATTAAAGTATACAATATGAAATATTTAAATATATCAACCGTTAGGTACAACCATATCAACTGTTATTTACTGCATCATATCATTACATCATATTGAAAACTAGTTAGCAGATATACTACAGTTAGTATACATTGAATCAACCATTAGTTTATCGAAGTCTATTGCTGAATATAGGCCTTGTCCATAAATTGCATCATATTCGGCATAGATGCCGAGCTGGGCAGATTTTATTTTATTTATATTTTTAATTTATTGTAATTATGAATGTCAGTAGTAGATATTACATTAATGCAATATTCTCTATAACGTTATATTTTTTTTTATTACGTTACAATTATAATTTCTTATATTTACTTGAACACTATTACCACCTTTAATAAAACGACCATAACTTAAAAAAAATGTGTATGTGTGTAATTGTAACATTTACTCAAAGTTTAGATAATTACAAATAGTTGTAACATTCTTTTTATCTCTATACAATACGGAGCAATACAGGCACTAGCTCAGCAATAGCTTGGCTAACATTTAACACGATTTTATTAGCTTGGCGTGTATCTATTTCTCTATCTATGTAACAGAATCTATCAATGTAATATTTATCTACTTAAAGACGGTCGATTGACTTGAAATTTTACAATCCCTTTCAGGATCACCAGGATAATACTCTCTTAGAATCATCACAATTTATGTTTATGAGCAGTATGTCAGTTGCAGGTTACCGATATTTGCAAACCGCATTTCATTGATCTTAACATTCTGACCGTACCATCTTTATATATATTCGAAGTAGCTATGTTTGTAAGGAAATATTTTGGCATATTTGAAAACGCTAATAATAAACGACATAGGAACAAACTACGTACAAAACCTCATAAAACAGCCCTGTATTCAAAAAATTTCCTGGGTATGGCTCCTAAAATCTCAAAACTCCCAAAAAAACATCAAAAAAAATGATAATATAGACAAATTTAAGAGATTGCTTTCGGGTTTTTTAATAAATAAAGCATACTACTCACTATGAACGAATATTCTGAAGATAAAATGAATGGTTTTTAGTACCTACAATAATTAATGTCCGATTTATTTATTATATTTTTATCTTTATGTTATAAGAATTATGTAATTGATAATTAAGATAATAAATAATGCAATTTCTAAACATAACAATTATAATTGAAATTGTTATTTTATTAAAAATTAATTTTCATATTGCCAGGTGATAATGATAAACAAATATTTGTATGCCTTTTTAGGCAAAACATAGTGTTACATTTGATTTGATTTATGATCAATGCGTGTTTTTTTTAGCAATAATTTGATGTTTATATCATATACTTGTTGGAATTAAGATCCAAAGTAGGAAAAAATTTAATCTGGAAGTTTCACAATGTTATCTCTTACAAACCTGAATTACATTCTGTAAGATATAGTTCAACATTGGCAAATAAGATATTCTATTCATTATTATTTTTTTTATTAATTGTAATTAAAAAATACAGCAATCATTTCAAATAGATAGACAATGTATTCCAGAATACTTACACTGTCGGTAGTCTATTCACATTTGTGTTATTATTTACTGTGGCAAGGCTCATATTGTTCCAGTCTAAATCCTCATTTAATTCAGTCTTAATGTCGGCTAAACTCAAGTTACATGCATTGCTGTCCTTGGATTTCTTTGTCTTTTTTGAGCCCTTAGTTTTCTGTGTTGGTTTTTCAATCTTAATGTTTATTCCACCAAGCATTTCATCTTTTGAGATTGAAATCACTGGATCAGTAAGTATGGATTCTTGCATCATGTTATTTTCGGTTAGATCATCAGCAGATGTTACTCCAGCATCACTAATTGAATCGTCACTAGCAAAAATTTCAGCAGGCAACTTAAGATCGGCGGTCGTATTCATTGTATTAAAGCTACTAGGAGAGAGGAAGTGTTTTCCACTAGACATAATATTTTTGTTTCCACTTCTCTTATCTTTGGGTTTAAGTGTGCTAGGTGTGGTCATGGTACTGTTATTAGCTGGTTGCTCATGAATACTTTGTGGTATCAAGAATATTTTTGGGGATGTAGGTGATAGCAGGTTTGGAGAGGGTGAAGTAACAACTGGTAGAGATTTAGGGCCTGTAGTTGTTTTGACACTTTTTGTGCGACTGGCTGGATATAACATTTTACTATCTGAAACATTAACCACAATGGTATATTAAAATGAAATTGGATCAATTAATAAAAAATATTAAAGCAAAATAATATTTTCTAGAAATTATTTGTGATTTAGTATATTTTATAAGAAAATGTTATGAATAGTTGAAGAACGATTGATTTTTTTTGCTTGAAGTTTGTCTTATAAATTTTATAGCATTGATCAATTCAAAGTAGGCTGCAAGGTAGCAAGGTGCTTCGTTTATATAGATTTTTACATTTAAAAGATATTTTAAAGGAAGTAAAATATATATTAAATAATGCATGTATGTAAACTACAATAAAGTAACATGAGTCTCACAATCAGAGTAACTATACAAAACAGTGCTCATTTTATGTCCATACTATAGGCATTTTAATAAATTCACAAAATCCTAATTATACCCTATATACGTCCCAATGCGGGCACAGGCCTCCCCTTATTACGGAGTGGGTTCTAGGGAACGGAATTGTCTATGCACTACCACAATACGTGTTGGAGAACTTCACATGACTTCAAAATTTCGTTTGATTATTTCTCAGACATGCAGGTTTCCTCACGATATTTACCTTCACCGCCGAGCACATAGTAAATCAGTACTTAAAATTGCAATTAACAATTTCATTGGTGCCGCCAGGGATCGAACCAGAGTTGCTCGCGTATAGATAGAAAAACTTACATAAACAAGCAAAAATAAATGATTGTATTTTTGATTAAAAACAAAGTAAAATTAAAAGCAATAGACAACAAGACAACTGGATACAGGCTTCTCTCATTCTTAAAGAGCCTTAGAGCAAGGATATGATATTTTTTATTAGTATATTTTTTTAAAGAGCCTTAGAGCAAGGACATGATATTTTTTATTAGGATATTTTTTTTCTTAAACACAAGTTTCCTCACAATATTTTCTTTATAACTGCAAATCACAAAGTAATTCAGCACTTAAAATTGCTATTTTCAATTCCATTGGTTCTACATTTCCCTTGAGTTGCCACGGCTCTTTACTTTTTTTTATTTCTAAGGGTTTTAAATCAATATTGGTAAGATATTTAGTAATAAAATCAATAAAAATAAACATCTTGTTTCATAATCTTTTAAACTAGGTCTAGACCACAACACTATTAAGATACAAAAGACTCATAATATGTGACTATGGGTATTTAATAGTTAAGAATAATAATAAATTGGGGATATACAAAAAAATTTTTGTATAACCGACCTTCAATATAAATAAAATGAGAACATCATCATTGTATTCGAAGTCAATTAAATACGTATTATTAAAAATAACTCTAATATTGGTCAGATCTTGATCAAATTCATATGGGACCACACGAAAAGCACCAACTTTCAAATAAAAAATAATAATAAAAATCGGTTCACCAGAAAAAATTCTGGGGTAACACATAAAAAAAACATACAGTCGAATCGAATACCTCTTTCTTTTTGAAGTCGGTTAAAAAAGATCTTTTATTTGGTTAATATAAGCTACATGCTAAACAGGAAAAGATGCTTTATATCACTCAAATTGTGAGCAAAACCTAGGCCCTGCAAAAGGGTGTTGTGTTCTTGTTGTTACTTGTACTAAAGATTAATTAATTGTAATAAATGATAATCATCTGTGCAAAGTTATAATTGGCCTTCCTCCTCTACTTTTTTATGTATTACTTGATGTCTTTAGCTGTAAGTTATCCAATATGATTAAATTAAATTAAATTAAATTATCTTTAACAAAAATTTGTAGATATGAAAAAAAAATTACCAGTATCCACTTCATCCCCATCTTCCATTGTGACATGGTATTGTATAGATGCTGAAGGTTCAGTGTTGTTTTGACCGGCAAATATTGCAGGATTAGAAGTCATGTCAACGGTCACAAATGAAGCGGGGTCTAAGGAGTCTTGTGAAGCTTCATTATGCAATATGTCATCATGCGCTAATTCATGTATGGTTGGCCCATCTTCCTATAAAATAACAATTAAAACATTAGCAGTGTTAACTTAATATAAAGTTTATACACAATAGAAATTTTAATTAACGATACTAAATGAAGATAGTAATTTACTAAGCATTATTTTAGAGGTATTATTTTTAAAACACTAAACCAAAAAAATTTAATTTATGACAAAAAGCATAACAAACCAAATTATCTTCGCTTATTTCTTCTAAAGCAATATCTTTATCCAATTTCATATTCTTTGCTTTGCTTGAGTAAGAGCTGTCACTTGAAGTAACATGTGCTGAACTGTTGATCATCAACTGATATGGTCTCTTCACACCAACATTATTACCATTAGAGTTTGGTGGCCTTGTTGGTTGTACTAACGACATTAAAAATTGTATAAGCTGTAATGCAATAAAAACATGACTACAGCATGGATTTATAACTCTGTAAAAGTTTGATATGTAACAATACATAATTTTGTCATTACAATACTGATATAAGTAGTCTCTATGATACCAATATCAATATCCACATTTTTATCTGACTACCAAGATAGTAATGTTTTCAGATATTTATATATGTCACTATTATGTACAAAACTGGCAATATTTCGTTTTTGATAACTATCTCTATCCAGCCACACATTGCTGCCTCCAATGGAGGGATGGAGCTGTTTTTTAAGAAGTATGAAAATACATTTGCTAAGTGCAAATGTATTTTCATACTTCTTAAATTCTATTTCTGTTTTCAGTGTGAACCCCAAACTCGAAAGGATAAATAAGAACCTCAGATGAAAATTAATTGTATTCATTATAATTATTACAAGGCAAGAAAAGTAATAACTGCTATATAGCTATGTGCAGATCTCACATCAACGAAAACAGCAAGCTTCTTGCAGCTTCTCAAATTGTTTGACATCTTTTAATACATGAGGCATCCAATTATATTGACTGATATATCAGTATCAGATTGGCATTGATACATTCCGAGTAAAAACAATGAAGTCCACTTACATTATTAACAATTTGTTGCTGCTTAATATGCTTTTGCCTCAGAATTGCTACCTCCCGCCAGAGAGCTTCATTTTCCTGCTTCATTGCACTGAACTTGGCATCAAGACTTTCCTGTTTCCCTTTCATCTGTTTAACATCTGCCAACATTTTATTCATAATTTCTGGCTTAAGCAGAATTTTTTCACCATCTTCACTGCTAGCTACAATTGTCTTGGGATTAGCAATCTTTCTCTTAATGTGTTCCAGTAAGTAAGCATGACCTCTCATAAAACAAGGATGAGAAAATTCAATTTCATCCTTTTCATATCTTAAACCTCCATTTTCAACTGAAGTAATCTTATGAAAACCATACATATTTAATTGTCGAATAAAGCTAGCCATATTATTGTGTTTATAATACAATGGCAAAAGCTCTCGGGCAAACTCTGCTTGGTTTTTGATAACAAAGGTTTTTCCACCCTAGAATGATACAATGTGCAATAAGAAAATTATTAAATTTTAAATTACTTGGGAAGGACTTTACGACTAACATCCTCTTAGTATTGAAATTGGTGGAGGGTGGGAGAAGAGAGAGGGTGGAGAGACCCCTGCTGCACTTCCCCTATTTGGGAATGTGTAGTAATTTTTGTGGAAATTTTTGAAATTTTCAGTTTTGTGCCAATTTGAAGCATTTTGGTAAAAAAAACCTAGAATTACGGTAGGCAGCCCTTGCCGCGTAACCCACCCTCAAAAATGCTTATTTTTTTATTGAAATTTCGATCAAACAATTTTTTTTTATGAATGAGGGTGACAAACGATCACACAGTCCACCTGATGGTAAGTGGATGCTAAGGCTCTTAGACATCTACATTTTATTCTCGATTAAGAATTAAAATGCAGATGCGTAGTCACCCCTGAGGACTAAGATGGGATGCCTCTTATCCAGTAAAAAAGAATCTCCGGTTCTCTACACTCACCATACAAACAAAGCAACATTAAGTAGCTATTCAATGCTGGTATTATGTGAGAGTTTGATCCTTCTCCGGTCGAGATGACCCATTCATATTACTATTTTGTACAAATCTCCATTAAAACAGTTAGTAACCGTCAAACCAGATTTTAGGACAAATAAGTTTATCTTTTTAATAGTTTTTACTAAGCCCTGCAGGATGAACCAAAGGTTTGCGGCTTTTATTTAGGGTGGGTGAGCCAGTCCCATACCAGGCACTAGTAAAAGACAATTTCAATCTTCAAACCTAAATATTGTATACCTTCTTTTGAATTTCCAATCCAACCAATCATGTAATCATAACTAAAAGCGATATATTATATGCCACATACATCAGTAAAAAAAAACATAATCCAAAATGACAATCATTCACTTCAATCGGACTGCCATTTTACTAATTTATTTTAATGCTTTTAAATCTTTTATATATCCATTATTGTAGCCTATATTCGAGTTATTGTTATCAAAAAGAAAAGAAAATGCGAATTTAAATCAATGATTGTCATTGGTAAACCATTGGAACACCGATTCTGTGATTTTCCAGTAATATTCCAATTGGTCAATAACTGGTGATTAAGCTTTTTAATATGTATTGTTGCGCGCCTAAGTTGACGTCATGTACCCGGCACTAGCGCCATCTGTGTCGGGTAACGGAGCGAGGAGAGCTTTCCAGAAAATGACATCACTAATTTTTCAACCGACAGCGCCATCTAGTATCGAAACGAAGAACTAAGCTTCAAGAAGCCCGAAACTCGAACTTTCGGCGCCTAGTCGATTGGCGCGCGTATTTAGTTGAATATTCTGGATGTTTCGGTGATAATGTGCATTTAAAGGCGCTGCAAGATGCCATCGGGGAAGTATTGAATTCGGTGAGACAAGCGAAGCTTCGGAGCGAAATAAAGTAAATCAGTGTGGTTAATTATTAGTGTTCTAAGTTTTAATTAGTGTAAAGTGAATTAAAGAGTTAACTTTGGTAATTCAATCGGCAGTTTTTATTGTCACGAACCTCAAGCTCGTAACAGTATTTTATTTTTTATTTTACATTCATACTCACTTGAGATAATTCAATAAATTATTATAATAAATTCTTCAAGAATTCACAATGTTCAAGTTGTTGACCAGTGATTAATTACAGGTAATCTATGCTACGAGTTTGTTTCAGTAATTAACCACCTACACTTTTCTACACACACAATGCCACAGAAAACTTTATTCAAATATAAGGAGAAAGATGTCGTAAAAGTGATGGACAAGATAAGTAAAGGCACAAAAGTTAGAGAAATATGCTGAAAGTATAATATTTATACAAAACCATTATAAATAAAATGACACAGAAAAACAACATAATGAGCCTTGTAGCATTTAAAAATTACATGAAATTTTTAGATTAATTTAAAAGTTGTGATGAGTGTGAAAGTGTTATTGATATCAAAACTTTTAAGTTCATTAGTATTAGTAGTAAAATTAATCTTCTTTAAAAGCATTTGTTTTATTTACTGGTTCACTATTGGCAGAATGTCTGGTCTATTACTGGTACAATCTGGTACACTTTATACACATTGCGACTTGCCACATTCATTTTTAAAATAAAACTAACTAGTAATAGCTATTAAGAACATTGGAATAAGCCACATGATTATATGATAAATTTGGAGTATGAAGATATGCAATAATTGAGTCACATCATCAAAATTTGTTTCTAAATGTCATTTTATTATTGATTTGTTACTAGTGCACCCACCATACTATCACAAATAAAGTTCACTTAAAAAAAAGTTTGTTTTAAAATCTACAGCACATAAACATTTTGTGAAATATTTAACACATTTTTTACTAAGTACTCCTAGTAAGAAGTAATTTTAATCACTACTCTTGGTCAAAATTACTTTAAGGTCTTTTCAGTCAAAATCACTTTCAACTGATATTTTTTCAATCAAAACCACTTTTGCCCAAACTTCTTTAGTCAAAAATAATTTTGACCAATGAAAAAAGTCATTTTCTCATTAAAATAATTTTGACTGATTTTGTTACTCAAAATTAGTTTTAACTGGGTATTAGTTTTAACTGTAACATACATATTTTATAACTAATGCAATATTAGTTATTTTTAATTTTAATATCATGGTATCACAAGTCCATGCTGCTGAACATAGGCCTCCCCCAAGTAATGCCACAAAGCACGGTCCCGAGCCACCTGCATCCATCGACTTCCTGCATATCTTACCAGATCGTTACTCCATCTAGTGGGGGGTCGCCCTCCACTACGCCTACCGGTACGAGGCTGCCACTCGAGAACCTTTCTTCCCCATCGGTAATCGGTTCTTCGAGCTATATGGCCGGCCCATTGCCACTTCAGCTTACTAATTGGTTGGGCTATGTTGGTCACTCTGGTTTTACTGTGGATATCCTCATTTCTGAGTCTATCACGCAGAGAAACTCCAAGCATAGCCCTCTCCATAGCTTGATGAGCGACCTTGAGCGTCCTCATACGGCCAGCAGTGAAGGACCATGTCTCAGATCCGTAAGTCATCACTGGCAACATGCACTGGTTGTACAATCTAGTTTTCAAAGAATGAGGTATACTTGACGAGATGTGTCCAATTTCCCGACCGAACTGACCAAATTTCATGATACCAAAATGAAAATATTTAAATTTTATAAAACCACAACACAACTAGCAACAAATCCCAAAATGTATTTTTTCCTTTATTTTCACAAAAACTAAATGTTTTCAAGTGTTAGAACTTTATACACTCATATGTTTAAACAATTGATCTTTAGAAAAATAGTCATTTGAAAGTGCTAATTTTGGATAGTTAATTTATAGAGAAGCAATTACTTGAGTTATAATTTTAATACAATATTTATAGAAAATAAAATTAAAGTTTAATTTGTGTTATATTCATCATTAATAATTCTATCTCACACAACACGAATAAGTTTTTCTCATAGATAATAAAATCATCAAATGAAATTAACTACATGCATAATAACTATTTAGTAAGTATTTTTGGAATATTAAATTTACAACTCCTTGAGCTAAGTTTGCTCTTGGTGGGGATGATGTTACAACAAAAGTAATCCAATAAGTAAACAAATGGTTTAGTATCAAGTTGCCTTAATAGAGGGGTTTCGAGGCAGGGGATGTGGGGTTGAGAGGGATAAATTCACCCCCCACCTTTTCCTCCCGCCAGAGGTGCATAGTATTTTATATAATAAATCGACGGTCCCTACGTACATAGTCATGTCAAAAATGGTATTTTTTTATAGCATATTTGGCTTTAAATTTTCCTTATGCACATACCTATATAAGATTTTTTTCTAAATATTACGTATTTAACTTCATTTACAAATCGTATAAGAGAACAAGTATGATAATTACTACGAATAATTGTCGTAGATGCGGATATCTATACCTATCATTTCGTACGGCATTTTAAAATGCGTGCCACACGGGGCGAGCGCGGTCTTGTCTGACTTAACCTTAACTTCATTCACTTGGAGAAGATGTGTCGATGCTTGTTGGCGTGGTGAAATGATTGTTTTAATGATTGATTATATATTTTATGATTTAGTGGTGTGTTTTTAGTTAAAATTATTCATAATATTTCCTGCATAACATTGTAAAACATGAATAACAGTAGATCAAAGTTATTGGTGGATATTGCAAACTCCGGAAATAATGTTTTGTGTGTTTCTGAAGCACAAGATTTAATTAATTATATTGCTGAAGCTAATGAGGGTAAGTAGTTATTCAAATAAGTATTTTTATTGTTTTTCTAACATATTGCAGTGTAAAAGCAGACAAATCAGACATATCCGCTTAAACTATGATATAGTCATTAAATTATCATTATTGCACAAATAATTATAATAAGTTGCATGCTTCTTTAAAATATGATACCTATGAAATAATTATAAAAAAGAAAAAGTTTTTATTATTAACGAAGTATATGAAGTCATGTCTTACATGTTTGTATATATGTGTAACTAGAACATTTATGTATGAATTTGTTTTCATTTATGTTTATTACTGTTGTTGGATAAACATACATTACGTTTTTATTTTTAATTTTTTTAGATACACCTGTATATACCGAAAAAGATGTATCAATGGATCTTGAGGATCGGCATTTGGAAGTTTCTATCGACGAAAGACAAGCTGCCGAAGCACATAGTGATGGAGAACAAAATCATATTACATCAGCTAATATACTATCGCAAAGTGATTTAAATTATATAATCGATACGCTAGGGGAAATTTCGAATGTTGAAATTGAAAATTAGGATCTCACCACGCCCATTTGTGAAAATGAAACACCGCAATTAATACCTGAAAATTGGGGTTCAACACCAATGCCAAGTCCATGCATGTCCTTTGGGGACACTGTAAACGAATGTAACTATTTAAGCGAAAGTACTGTTCTCCTATCTGATGCAACCTTAAGATCAAGTCCATTAGGATCCAGTG